TTGCTTTCCCAGCATTATTCTGCCAGATATCTCTCTCTCTCTCTCTCTCTCTCTCTCTCTCCTTAATTTTTTCATCTCTCCCTTTCTCTCCCTCTCTTCCTCTTTTCCCCTTTCTTTTTCTCTCTCCCCTCCACTCCCTCCCTCCTTGCTTTTTGAGGAGCTGCTGCTTTTGAGGGGTAAGAAAGCCGGAGGGAAATCTTCATGCCACTATCCCCAAGGCAAAAGGACACTTCTCCCTGGGGGAAGTTCCCAAGATGGTTTGTACTTGACTTGAGAGTAATCTGTGAAGTTTATGCAACTGTTTATTTTAGTAGTTTGTGCTATGACATGAGCTAAAAAGAAAGTAGAATACAAAATTGTGTATCACATAAAAAAAATCGTGTATCATAATATACCTCTGAAAATGTATTATGCATATCAACAAAACTTGATATCTCCCCTTTCCAGCCTAGCCAAGATGTAATTCCAAACCAAATCTGAGTCAAAGCCACAGATTACACACAGTGTAGGTCTAGGCCGAGTGAGGCTGAGCTGGCATTGCAGGTTCGCTTCTTTTTTTTTTTTTTTTAAACATTTTATTGGGGAATTGGGAGAGGGGAACAGTGTTGGGGAATCAGGGAAGGGGAGCAGACAAGTTGCTGTTGTTCGGTTCTTCAGTCTAGTTGTGGAAGACGTCGTCTCACTGGCCCATGTTGGTATTATCATTGCGCTCTTCCCAGGTGAGGCAGATTGGTCACCGGCCTCTGGACAGCCGCTCACAGTGGCTCTTGGCAGCTCACACCGGCTGCTGGCCGCTCACGCTGGCTGCTGGCCACACATGGTAGCTTATGGCAGTCAACTGCAGCAGAGGCTGCAGCCTACACAGTCGCCTGCAACTCATGGCAGCCCAGCTCCAGGTTGAGTTGTTGTTCACCATCTTAACTGTAGAGGGCAGTGTCACTGGCCCTCATGTGGGATCTGAACCAGGGCCTTGCTGCACAGAGCTGGTGTCCCAAGCCAGCTCTTAACCAACGCGCCACTCGGCCGGCCCACAGCAGGTTCACTTCTTCCCTTCCGGTGTGAGAAGCTTCCAGCAAACAATATCATTAAGGCATTTTATGCCATTGGGGCGCCAGGACTTCTCTTTTTGTTAAACTATGCAATATTTACAGCAGTCCAGGTTTATGCAGATTGACATGTGGCTGTTGCCTCTTGCTATATTTCTCAGTTGGTATCTATGCTGATGCTTGTAACAACAGCTACCAGTTATTAAAAATATATTGTGTATCAGGAACAACCCAAGATGTTTTGCATACATTATCTTGTTTAAACTTAGAGCAATCTGCCAGGGGGTTTTATTATCCTCATTTTACAGATGAGTCCCTTAAAATGTTACCTTTTGGAGGACTTGGCCCATAACTTTAGCTTAGGGAACACCCAGGAACAATACATTTAACAAACATGGGCATTTATAAAAATGTAAACTGCCAGCATTCTGAGCTAACCAAATACATGAATCAGAGGACAAAGGGTGTGTGTGTGTGTGTATACAAAAGTTGCACCTGAGAGTCTATTTAAGTAGATTACCCATTGTACCTAACGTAACAGGATTTGAAACTTTCCAAAACACATCTAGCCCAGCACAATGCTCATTAGGGCTAATATTCAGACTCCCTGGCTTGATAGTACTGCCCTTCACAATCTGGTTCTAACCCACTTTTCCAACTTTATCTTCCAGTTAGTCTTGCTCTAACCATGCAACATTACTTGCAGTTTTCTCAAACACTTTCCTTCCTTCCTCTGTGCCTTTGCTCATGCTGATCCCTCAGCCAGGAATGTCCTCTCTGGAAGTCCCTGACTCTTGACATAGTCATCCTTCAAGGTTTGAAGGGTCCTAGTCCATGCTTTTCCTGTGCTTCTTGGACTTAGGAGAGGGGCTGTCATGGTTCTTTGTTTGCACCTCACTTTGACCCTTGTCTGTCAGTGTGTATGTGTCTCCCAGTTCTATTCCTATTCTTACCATCTTCAACACCTAGCATAATGCCTTACCCAAGTGTTCATTTGGTAAATATGCATTGAATTGGATTAAGTAGGCGGCGCTTGACAACTATGAGTAGATTGAGTAAAGTAAGTTATCCATGGGTCAGTATAAGTTATTGGTGGGTAAGTCTGGCTCATGTTTAATCATCTCTTTGGGTGACAAATATTACAAAGACATAAAATATACACCATAAAAGATCCCAGGAAATAATATGTTTGTACTTTTCGCTTTTTCTCCCCACAGAGGAGTCTTTGTTTACAGTTTCAGGAGTGAGGCTGAAGCCAGAAATGTGTGACCTTTTGGCCTCCTACCAGAAAGGTCACCACCCAGCCCAGTTTAGCAAATGCTGGTGAAAAGAAAGGGTGACATCACCAAGATCCTTCCAGGTAAGTGTTCCCAACAGTGAGGTTCCGTATGGACAAAACTGAACAGCGATTGCTGCCAGGTGGAGAGAACATGGTTCAGGGATACAGGCCACCTCTTTTTCTGTGTCTGGTTCTTCATTTCCATTCTAGAGACAGGTGGCCTAACCTCCTCAGGCTGTGAAAGGAGGCTAATAATGTGCATTACCTGTCTCTCCCACACCCAGAGGAGTGGTAAGGCCTCTAAGACAGAACTTACAGGTCATTGTGAGGCCTTCAGCTGATATATGTGGAATAAAGGATTACACCTGGCATATTGTAGTCCCTTAACTACATAGGTCTCTCTGCTAGCTGATAGGACAAAATAAGAGATCAAGGTGACCAGCCAGCCCATATGCTTGAGACTGAGCAGGGTCCTGGGATGCGGTACTTTCAATGCTAAAATTGGCATAATCCCAGATAAACCAGGATGGTTGGTCACCATAATGGTACCAGTTACCACCAGGCTTGCCCCCAGGTGCCAAAGAAGACCTGGTTCAGAGTCTGGCCCTGCCCAGGAGGTTGTTTTAGAGGTGTGTGAGAATCAAGTCATCACTGCTACAGGCTTCTTAGGCTACACCTTCTGCATAGTTGGTTACAGGGAGTCCTCTCATTCAGGGTGACTTCTGGGAACCACAAGGGCCTTGTGGACAGGCAGGAGCCATCCACAAATGTCACAGACACAGCTACTCTCCTCAATCATCAGCTACTCTCCTCAATTATCTCAGGGAAGCCTAGCCTTCCAAGGTAATCTTTAGGAGGAAGGGGTGCTGTGGAGTATTTTCCCAAATCTACCCTACCTGAAAGGGAGTTCTGCTGGTAGGCACAGGAAGCCATGTGGGATAACTCCAAAAGCTACCGTAATACAGATACCCCAAGATGTTATGCGAGCGCTTCCCATACTGGGCCTTCCATGGTGGGTGGTGAGGACAGTAATCAAGAGAGAAGAATCAAGGTGGGACCCATGCATAGAGCCAGCTAGCCAGCTCTTTAGGTGACCTGGCTATATCCCAAGCCACAAACATTAGACTATGATTTGGCCACCCATTTTGCAACCACAGTTTGGCTGTACTTCCTAACAGGACTTTTGGGGCCTAGATGGTAACCACTGGCATACTCCCTGTACCCTCCCCTCAACGTCATTCACATGGCAGGATTCAACTCTGCCATTTTCTCTTTGATCTCTCTTTAGCTGTTGATATTTAAAGGCATGTACATATCAAGAATGTCTACCTTCTGAATCTTCTAAGATCATGGTATTTAGAAATTTGGAAAGATTATGAATGTTTAGAATTATAGATGTTCCTCAGCATTTTATGAAATACGTGAGTTTGCATTTTGACAATAATAATAGACAATACAATAATAGGTATTGCACAAGCAAAATACTTTCTACAGCAGAGATTTTACTGTGTAATTATGCCATTTTAAACCCAATAGTTATGAGAATAGGACGTACTCCAGCTACATTCTATACAGTAGAGGATTTGCGCTTCATAAAATTATCAAAGACACTGATGGAAATTGTCTCAGATAGTGGTGCTCCATAAGCATAATTATCATTTCTATTGTTGTTGTTACTCTGTTTTATTAAGCAGCCAGAAGATAAATAACCCTGCCTCTCTGATCTGTAGTTACTTTTCACAGAGAATTGTTACCTGTAGGTGTAAATTGGTCACAATAGAAAATCAGTTAAATTCAGTGTGTCAAACTTGGTGCCTGTGCCACCAATCGAAGACGGGAAATGGCAGATTTAGCCTCTATTGGAGTAATCTCATGATGTCCCTAGGCCCTTGGGACTAATGTAAGGAGATAAAACCCATAGGGGATGAACCACAAAAGGTAAAAGCTAGAGCAATTAAACTGTTTAATTAACGGCTTGGGATCAGCAAAATCTGGGAGTGCTGGAGTTAAAACGACTAAAAGTGGTAATCAACGGACACTTGGGGCCTGTAAATCTTTTCCAGTAAATTGAATTTATGTTAAAATATTCACTGTTTAGAAGATTCAAAATGTAAATTGGGATATTAGGACTTGTAACTGGCAGCAGTGCCGCTTAAAGGATCCTCAAAATGTCAGTTTCAGGTATAGTAAAAATGTATACTGATGTTTACAGTAGAGAAATAGAGGGGCACTAAAATTTACTGGGTACATTCCCTGTGCCAGGCAATTTACACGTATTATTTCAAAGTTTGGTATGTTTTGAACAGTTGGGTGTGGTGAGGTAAACCGTAGTTTGTACATCCAAAGATAGATTTTTATTCCTTTTAAAGCTTATTTAGTTCTTATTACCACAGGTGCTTCTGTTATCATTTACTATCATCTTTTCTATCAACATATATAATTCCAAAGTTAATCAATAACTTTACAGTAATATTTAATAGGTTTTCCTTATTACAATTTCATTTATTTTGATTTTGCTTATTCTTCATTTACTTCCAGGACTACATTACTGCTATTTCAGTTTTAATTTGCTTCAACTACTAAGAAGCTTCGAATTTAACTCCACACTGGACCATCACCTGTGACCTGGAATATTTTAAATATAATGTCCAAGGCAATAGTACATAATACTTGAAGAAAAAACAATTGAAGGTTATTGCTGTTGTCATTTGCCTAGAATTTCACAGTTATTGGCTCAAAAATTAGACATAGGCTGAAACCGTCTGAGAAGAGGACTTCTGAATAATTGTATCCATTTCATTACTTGGTAGAGAGATCCCTGGGCAGGAAAGACAGCAGGACAGATGGGAGGCTGACAATTGAAAGAATTTGGAGACAGAGCCATGCTTACAGAGGCCTATCACTCCTGTGTTCACTTACAATTTCTCCCAACAAAAGGATTTCTGTGGCAAGGAGAGGATTAGTCTAAGGTTTAGAAAAGTCTCCAGAGAAGATGGTTTCTTGGATAAAGTTGTCAACAAAAGGACTAGCTTAAACTTCTGGTTAAGACTTCCCTGGGGACTTCTTCCTTCACTAAAGGAATTATCAAAACACATTACCACCCCACCCAGCCAGATTTGAGGAGTTTGGATTGAGCTGCTGGTTAGAATTAAATTTCAGGCTATCTCCTTCTACTGGATTCTAATTGTCTGTGATAGCAAAAGTGATGAGGAATCTAAGCTCTGATTTGATGGTTGAGATACTGACTAGATAGATAGGATCAAAGAGTTCCAAAGATGTAATTCAAGCCCTGTCACACCATCAGACACACATGCATGTGTGCACACACACATAACCCTCAAATAAAATGAGAGATTTGTCTCGGCTAACACATGTATCATTTTCTACAATGGCTCCTTCTAGAAGAAGCCAGGGAAACTCAAATTACTTCATCTAGGGATCATCTACTCAGGAAATATAGTAACCTAGAAACCAGAGACCTCTATATATTCTTTAGAACAAGGAGGAACTAATTAAGAGAGAATTAAAAAATGGTACCTATCCACCCAAAATCTGAGATGGAAGAAGGGAAAAGGTGTACAAATACCTTAGTGAGTATTTGATTTTAGTAAAGCATTTGACAAAGCCTGCGCAGATATACCTGAAAGATGAAACTGTGTGGGCGGGATGATGAGGCAGATATAGGTACTCAAAGAAAGGTGGTATTCGACCTAGAGAAAAGCTGATAGTGGTGTGGTGCAAGGTTCAGTCTTGAGTCCCATTCTGGTCAAATATATATATATATATTTTTTTTAATTTAATTTTTTTTTAATTGGGAACAGTGTTTTTTTTTTCCAGGACCCATCAGCTCCAAATCAAGTAGTTGTTTCAATCTAGTTGTGGAGGGCACAACTCAGTGGCCCATGTGGGGACCGAACTGGCAACCTTGGTGTTATGAGCACTATGCTCTAACCAACTGAGCTAACCAGCCGCCCTTTGTCAAATATTTTTATCAATCCCTTTAATAAAACCAGAGAAGGTACACAATTTATTCATACAACTCACTGAAGTAAGTACTGTTATTATTAATTTATGACTTCCATTCTACAAGGAGGAAACTGTGGCCCAGAGAGGTTAAATAGCTCTCCATACTAGTACAACAGAGTTAAGGTACAAACCTCAGGCCTGGCTGCCTCCAATGTCTATGATCTTTCCAGTAGTCACATACCTATCAAATCTGTAGCATATACAACTCTTAAAGAGGTAGCTGATATTTAGCTTTGCATCCTGATTCAGAAAACTGAGACCTTGCTAAAAGCTAATGTGTACCACTACACACCTATCGGAATGACCAAATTCCAGAACACTGACAGCACCAAATGTTGGTTGGGTGTACAGCAGCAGGGACTCTCACTCATTGCTGGTGAGAATGCAAAATGACAGCCCCTGTGGAAGACAGTGTGGCAGTTTTTTACAAAACTAAATGTACCCTTTCCATATAATCCAGCTATCCCGCTCCTTGGTATCTACCCAAAGGAGCTGAAAATTTATGTCTACAGAAAAATCTGCACACATATGTTTATAGCATCTTTATTCAAAATAGCCCAAACTTGGAAACAATCCAAGATGTCCTTCAGTAGGTGAATGGATAAACTGTGGTACTTCCAGACAATTGAATACTATTCGGCACTAAAATGAAATGAGCTATCAAGCCATGAAAAGACATGGAGGAAACTTACATGTATATTACTAAGTGAAAGAAGCCAACCTGAAAAGGCTACATACTATATGATTACATTATATGACATTCCGGAAAAGGCAAAACTATGGAGACAGTAAAAAGTCCAGTGGTTGCCAAGGATTGGGAAGAAAGAATGAATAGGCGGAGCACAGAAGATTTTTAGGGCAATAAAAATACTTTGGATGATACTATAATGCTGGATTATATGTTATTATACATTTGTCCCCTCGAATGTACAACACCAAGAGTGATCATTGTTTAAACTATTGACTTTGATGATTATGACGTGTCAATGCAGGTTCATCAATTGTAACAAATGTCCCACTCCCATAGGGGATGCTGATAATCGAGGCTGCACATGTGTGGGGGCAGTGGGTATATGGGAAATCTCTGTAATTGTCTCTCAATTTTACTGTAAATTTAAAACTGCTCTAAAAAGTAAAGTCTATCTATTAAAAACAAAATAAACCAAACAAAAAACTAATGAGCAACAAGCCAACATAGCCTTTATTCCTATCAAATTCATCTGATTAACTTCTTACACTTTAGGCTTAAAATATCAACAAGAAAGGCTGTGTGTGACATGTAAAAATTGGTACTTTTAAGTGCAATATAAATTAATAGTATGCCTGGATGCCCACAAAAGATAATGCTTGTACTTTTAGGTGATATAAATGAAAGAATAGGATGGTGTCCCAGAGGGGGGACATAGTTTACCCTCTACTGATTAGATGCCATCAAAATTATTAAGTTTAACTCTATCCATCACACATTAAAAGAAACATCACAATGAAGTTGTGTATCTATTAGTTTACAGATCTAATTCTGTTTAATCCTCTTAATAAGACTAAGAAGTAGGTGTAGTTATTCCCCATTTTGCAGAGAACACAGAATAAAATTTAAGTAGCTAGGATTTGATGCTCAGACTCTGTCCCCAAAGTCTGTGCTTTTTGTACCCTACCCCCAGCTCCGTGCTGCATGGTCCAAGAAGGGCTAGTAGGAGAATAGAGAGGGCATGAGGAGCAAGGCACAAGGAGGGAATAGCCCAAGAGAAAACCCAGGGAACAGGGAAATTACTTCCAGAGTGTTGAGGGTTCTTACAGAGCAAAGGGGCTGGCCCTCTGCTGAGTGGCTGCAGAGCCAGGACAAATATATTGAAAGCTCAGAGACACTGCTTTTGACACAGCATGAAGAGTTCTAGAACAATTTCACCTGTCCACCAATGGAATGAGTTCCCATAACAGTAATGGACTTCCTCTGCACCTGGAAGATATGGAAAGCTGTAGGAGGGATTCCCCATATTGAAGTTTAGAACAACTGACCTCTAAGGTCCCATCTAATTCCAGGATTGTCTAACAATGACTTTTGAACAGCTGTAGACAGACTATACTTGGGATTATAGTAAAATCCTATTGTTGAAAGATTGGGTAGACTCGTTTTATATTTTTAAAAAGGATTATTTAAAAAGTGGAAATTGATAAAATGATCATCTTCAATTGTAATGGAAAAAAAATCATGCTTATGCTTTCTCCTTTAATTAATAGATTTGCTTATTGAGAAGCTTAATAAAAATTATATGTAAAACGCCAAAACATCATTCTAATCTTTCTTCCTTAATTTTGTAAAAGGAGTGGAGTATTCCTGGTGTTTGTGCATATTTTTTCCTCCTATGTTTTTGTTGATTCCTTTGTATAGACATACACCTAACTTTTAAAAACATAAATTATTTTTGTTCAATTTGATATATTAATTATTTTCATGATGCTTATTTAGCCACGAGTGCTACTCACCTAATATTTGTCTCCCAGGCTCCATAATTGGGTGGCATTTCTTGGCCCTCTGGTGGGTGGATAGGGTTGTATGATTAATGCTGGCCAACGAATTGTGAGTGGAAGCGATATGTATTACTTCTGACCAAGCATTCGACTGCCAGTGCAAGACCCTCCGGATCTCTTTTTATTTTTTTCCTCTGTTACGATGACCAGCAGCATTCAAGATGGTCCCAGATTGAGGAGATGTAGAACAGAGTCCCAGATGACATATGATGGATGAGTAGTAAGAAAGAGAAATAAAATTTTATTGTTTTAAGCCACTAATATTTCAGGGTTGCTACTGCAGTCTAATCTAGCCTATCTTGACTAGCACAGGGCACATAAAATATATACCTGCACTGTTCAATATGGTAACTACTAGCTACATGTGACTATTTAAATATACATTTAATTAAGTTAAACATTCAAGTCCTCCGTCCCACTAACCACATTTCAAGAGCTCAATAGCCACATGTGGCTGGAGGCTACCATAAAAGCATGAGGCATATAGAACATTTCCATCACTGCAGAAAGCTCTGTTGAACAGTGCTGACACAGGATGCTAGGATTTTTATGAGTTGATAATATCTTCTAACATTTCTTAAATAATATCTCCTAACATTTCTTAAGGTTTTAACTGTGCATCTAACACCACCTTGGAGTTATTTTAGAAATGTTTTCCTTTTTGAAAATGAAATCTGGGAGCACCCAGTGGAGGTTCCCTTCTGGAAGAATATGAATCACTCTGAGCAGTTACATTTCTTAGAACCAAAGGTCTTTTCCTGAAGGTTACATTGACACATAAGATTAACACCTTTTTGTTACTCTTGACACCTTTCATAAATGAATTCCCCAGTAGTTTTATTTTAGTCCACCCTGTCTGATCCTATTCACATTCTCTACTCCTAACTCTTCTCTGTCCCTAAGTACATAGGTTAATGGGCACCTGGTATAATATCTGAGGTGCTCAGTAATGAATTCATTCAAGTTTATTATTATCCTTGTAAAATTTTGTTTCTACTCTAAGATATTACAAGAAAATCTTGTGGGAGCCCAAAACAGAACCAAAATATAAAATAAATCATCCCATCTATTTATTACTTCAGTCAACAAACATCTAGGCTCTAGAAATACAAAAAAATAACAGTTCCTCCAGGGCCCTTGTAGTCTAACAGAGAGTTTGATGGAAATAAATACAAGATCTAATGATAACATATCAGTGTGCCCTATCACACAGGAGATGACAGTTAAGCCTTATCTTGAAGTAAGAGTTTGCTAGGCAGGCAATCAAGGCAATGAGAAGATAGCCCTGTGTGAGGAAAATAGAGAAGGGACAGGATGCTTTGGGCTGTAAGGAATTGAAAACCCCAATTCATGGACTTAATCCATGAGGATATTGTTTCACGTAAGTTCAGAAGTAGCTGTTTCCAGGACTGATTGATTTGATGGGTCAACATCATTAACCCAGGTTCTTTCTGTCTTCACTGCATCTTCGGTGTCTTTTTGCCTTAATTCTCAGGCTGGTTTCTAGTATGGTCACAAGATGCTACCACAGTTCCAGGCATCACACGCAAGCACAACAGTGTCCAGTTAAATAAGAGGGTATCTCTTCCTGTGTGCTTCTTTTTCAAAGCAAGTGCCATTCTCTTCACATCTTACTGTTTAGACTGTCACATATCCACTCCTAAACTGCTAGCAAGGGATATTAGATAACTACTTTAGAAAGGTCAGGATTTACTACTGATCTGAAGCTAGGATCACCTTTCCTGAGGTTCACATTCCTGAATAATCTTTTTTTGTTGTTTTTTGTCCACTTTTTAAGAAGTAGAGAAGGACTGTTGGGCAGACAACCAATAGAATCTGCCACAGCAGCCAGCTGTGAGTTCTAGTGGTGCAGGGAGCAGTTGGGGGTGAGAAATGGCTGCAAAGTTTCCAGTCTGGGGGCCTAGATGACTTGTTAGATCATTCAAAGTCAGGCAATTAGTTTGGGAGAGAAGGTTATGAGCTCATTTCTAGGCATAGTGAATTTGCAGTGTGCATCACACAATTGAGACCAGGCTATAAGGACTGGCTATATGTGGACATCACCTACATAGCAATGTCCTTGAAGTCCCAAAGATGTGATTGCCCAAGAGAACAAATACCAAGAGAAGAAGCACAGAGTGGAAGAAAGGAGAATCAGCAAAGGAGACAAAGCACCAGTGACTAGAAATTGGTTTGGAGGTGAGCGTGGGCAGAAAACTATTATAGAATCATTTTGTGACAGAAACTA